GTCTACATTATTTATTTTATATGGGCATGTTATTGCCCTATCAACTTTTTGAATTTTGCATTTGTCTATAATAAACTGCATCTGCATTTTCCCACCACTGCATCGTCATTAAAAATCTTCTGGAGTCCCAAAATGCCTCGTCGAATGAATTCGACGGCCTATTTTTGGTGTCACGGCAAACTTGCCATGTCCTCTTTTAGCCTCATTATGTCTTTTTTGTAGATTGTGAACAGCGGGGGGCCCAACACTGCCCCCTGGGGAACACCCTCGAAACGCTTCCCCACTTGATTTCTCCCATTTAGCAAACTCTCGGGCCCCTATTCAACCATGCCCCTATCCAGGAAAAAATTTTCCTCCTATTCCCTGTGCTTTAATTTTCCTCAATAGCTCTGATGTGGGGGCCCTGTCAAAAACCCTTTCTGAAATCCTTACCAATACATATTCATTACTAAATCTACCCCCCTCAAATCCCTTTGTGAAAAAAGTTAATAAATTTGTAAGGCAGGAACGCCCTTTTAAAACCTGCTGAGATTCGTTGATTAATTTATGCTTTTCCAAATGGCTAGAAACTGCCTCGGAAAATTTTTGATTCCATAAAAATTTTCCATATGGAGGGTTGGCTTATTGGGCTATAGTTTTTGAAGTTTAAGGGCCTGTCACCTATTTTGAAAATAGGTATCAATTTGCCTTTTCCCCCTTATCTGGGACCATGCCCCTTTGTAGTGAATGTTGAAAAAAATTAGCCAAAGGGGTCTAAGCCTCTTTTTCATTCCTTTAGAACCCTTGCATACAGTTCTCAGGGCCTGGGGATTTGTTAGGGGTTTTAATTTATCTATTTGCCTAAGGACCATGTCACGTGACCCCATCGTGCCGTTTATTTTCGTCCCGTTCTACATAATTTTATCATTACTGGAATATCGCTGGTATCCTCCGTGTAAAAACTGAGAGGAAGTATGTGTTAAAATTCTACACATTTCCTTATCACTGTCGTGAGCTGACCGAGGGGAAATTTTTTGGGGGGCCTATTTGTCCCTGATCTTACTTGTATACCTGAAAGAATCCTTTTGGGGTTTGTCTTCGATTTTCTTGCAAATTTTAAACCCCATAAACTTTTTTGCTTTTTAATTCCTTTTTTATTCTTCTCTAACTGAATATATCGATTTCTTTAAATTCCCCTTCCTCTTTTGATTTGCCTATAATCCTCTCTTTTGACCAATCAGATTTTTAATTTTTTTTTCATCCATTTAGGACATTTTTTTTTGATCTGATTTCCCCATTTGGAACATAATTTGATGAGCAGCTAGAATATGCCCTGGGAAAACATATATCGGCAACCCTCACCACCCACCTGACCTTGTCAGGTCTTCCCTTTACCCACCTAAGTAATTTTTCAGTCCCATGAAAACAGCCCAAGGGGAAAAACAAAAAGGAAAGAAAGGGGAAAACAGAAATTAAAAGGGATTTTTAACCTTTAAAAAAACCCCAAAAAGAAAAAAACCCCCGAAGAACATCAAGGGTTATTCCCCATTTTCAAAATGTTTTTAAAAAAAACTGGATTTTATCAAAAGTCACCTGATTAAAAATTTTTCCTGTCAAATTTCTCCGTCAACTGTTATAGTTGAAATCTCCCATTTGCAAAATTTTTCATTTTTAGATCCTTAAATTTCGTCCTAGAATTTATGACCCCCCTATCAAAATTTGGGGCCTGTAAACACACCCAAAATTAGTTTTTATCGGCCCCGAGAAGCTGTAAAAAAACAGATTCGGGCGATGCTTCTAATTTAATATCTTGTCTAAAACAACAATTTAAATTGTCTCTGAATCATCGCTACTCCACCCCCTTTCCCGTTGACCCTGTCAGTGTGGAATAAATTTATGCCTTTTATGTGACTTCAGAGGGGATCTCTCATCTTTTAGATGAGCCCGGTCTTGTTATAGCAATAATATCTATGTTTCCTGCACTTGCAAATTTAAATTTGCTCTTATCTTATTTCTTCACTCCTGATTTGTATAGTAAACCTTTAAGGGGGCAGTCCCTTGCTGCCCTCGCTGTCCCCCTTTGTTTGCTGCCTGATTATTGTTTTATTTAAACTTCAGCTGAATGCCTTTTATAATTTACTGTTTCCCAAACCCCAGTGTTGCAACCTGCTTGTTTCCCACCACACCCATACCCCTATCTTTATCAGTTTTTTAAAAAAAAAAGGCTTTCACCAATGGGCCCTTTTCATCGAGTCTGCAAATGTACCACCCAGCCCCAGAGAGATGTACCCCCCCCCTTGCATACTTCATGTTTGCCATAAGTTGTTCGGGGGGTTTTTCAATGAATGGGTTGCAATTCCCGCAGTATCTGTCTAGCCAGCAATTTACACCAATTGCCCCCGACAACCATTTATTTCCTCCCCCTTTTGCAAGATCTAAATTGTTGGGACCCTCCCCTTTGACTTTAAAGAAATTATAGCTGACCTGTATTATCTAGCAGCTCTTCTCTCCCACCCTTCCCAATATCATTTCCCCCCAGCATGAGACGATAATGGGTTTTCCCCTTCCCGCATGATATTTAAACCGCCGTTGACTATGTCCCCCAAAACCGCTCCAGGGGAAACACACTCTATCTTATCTTCTTATTTCCCATTACAAAAAACCGGTCAATATATCTTACCTGAGAGTCACCAACCACAAGAATGCGCTTACCTCCCTTAGCGGGGAGTAGTACCCTTACCTTACGGACTTAGTACATTCATTCGAAGAACAGAGAAGGATTTCCTACCTTTAATCTTCACTCTTAACTTTCCTTACTCGATGCGCCCCCCATTATGTGAACCACTCGCCACTTGTAGCAGGGTGGGCTGCACCTCACTCGGTGCCGTTGTACCTCCCCAAAAATACAGCCCCCACAGCGAGGAAGACGCCCTCACTGCTAGAGCCTCATTCCCCACAACTCCAGCCACCTCACACTCTCTCCCAGACCCATTGAGGTGGACCTTCAGCCTCCTAATCTCCTCCTGGAGAAGCAAGACCTCCTTCAACTCTCCAACCTCAATTTTTAAAACACTGCAGAAGCAAGCCATGCTTTGTAACTGTCCACGCTAATCCCCAAAGCAGCTCAGGGTCTGTGACCTCACGTGACGACTGACCACTGACAAGATAAACACAGACAAAGATAAAGATTTTATCTCTTTGCAATGTTTACAATATGTAATTAAAATTTTGATTTCTTGAGTACAAAGAAAGCCATTATCATGCAGGGGCATTTCAGGCAGACTAAACCTAACTGAAACTGAAATGTTTATTTCTCAGTAAAGATTACAATGTGGGGTTTACGTATTATAAAATACTAATTACAATGTGTGGTTTATGTATTATAAAATATTAATTACAGAGGCCACTAGCATGCCTAGGCATTTCTAGCAGACTACTTAATACTAGACATATAAGAGTAGTTTAGTTAGTTTAATATCTTTATTATGCACTCCATACCCATCCTGTGGGTGGTACTATAATTATACATTGTTTTTCTAAACTCCATCTACTCAATTCACTTAAGTTTTAGTGTAAGTTTTGCATTCCTTTTGATACTGTATTTTACTTAAATTTTGTTTTATCATCTGAAAACGTTTATTTTGTTACAAGGGGACTGATCATACTTGGCAGCAAGGTGGTGGTCAGACTAGATGTGAGGCAGCCAGATAAAGTTGAGAAACTAAGAGTGAATGGAAAAACATGACAAGTTCATGTGGGTGAGGGAGCAGGGTTGAATTTATGATGTCTCAGGCAGCAGAAATGGAGCATTTTTGGTAACATGAATATTTTGTAGAAACAAGCAGAATTAGTGAGTAGTAAGTAGTAGATTTGCTGGTACTGTCCTGGCCTGGGTTTTTTCCAGATAGTGACCAGACAGGGGTCTGTAAAGGAAGGAAGCTGAAGTGAACATAGATAGGAGTAAGGCAATAAGAGTATCAAACAAGTTAGGTAAGAAAAAATCAGATATCAGATTGGAGAGGGAGTATGAAGGCTGTGAATGTGCTCAGATATTTGGGAGTGGATGTGTAGGCAGATGGATATACATAAGATGAAGTAAACCACAGAACTGATGAAAGGAAAAAGGTGGGTGGTGCATTCAGGTATCTATGGAGACGAAGAACTTTAGCCATGGAGGCAAAGAAGAGAAAGTATGAGAGTATAATGGTAGTAACACTCTTATATGGGTGTGAAGCATGGGTTGTGAATGTTGCAGTGAGAAGGAGGTTGGAGGCAGTGGAGATGTCGTGTCTGAGGGCAATGTGTGTGGCATAAATAGTATACAGAGAATTTGTAGTTTGAAGATTAGAGGTGTGGAGTTACTAAAAGTATTATTCAGAGGGTTGAGGAGGGGTTGTTGTAGTGGTTTGGTCATTTAAAGAAGATGGAGCAAAATACGATGACTTGAAGGGTATATAAATCTGTAGTAGGGGGAAGGCATGGTAGAGGGTGTCCTAGGAAAGGATAGAGGGGGAGGGTAAAGGAGGTTTTGTGTGCTAGCTGCTTGGACATAAAGCAGATATGTGTGAGCCTGTTAGACAGGAGTGAGTGGAGACATATGGATTTTGGGACTTGACAAGCTGTTGGAATGCGAGCAAGGTAATACTTTGTAAATGGACTCAAGGAAACTGGTTAGATGGACCTAGAGTTCAGGAGATGGGAAGTACAGTGCCGTGCCATACTCTAAACAAGGGGATTTTGATATTTGCTGCTGAGAGGGACATTTAAATTGTCATATCTGTATGTCACTGGCAAGACAATGATAGTGTAAATAATGGTTAAGTTTTTTTTAGGTCACCCTGCCTCAATGGGAGATGGCTGGTGTGTTAAAAAAAAAAAAAAAAAAAACACTGTGGGTTGGTGTCTTCAAGAGTTAATGACTGCCAAGGCAACAGAAAAGTCTCATCCAAGAATGTGTTGGGCTGTATAATGATAGTATAGTATTATATTGTGATCAGTATAGTGTCATTTTAAAAATTCACCTCAAAAGTATAAGCATCAGAACTTGAATCTCCAGAGGTTTCATGCTTAATGGCTGAAGGCACAAACACCACACGTTTCTTGGAGTCAGGAGGCAAGAGCATGCGTCGTCTAGTCTTCAGTATTCCAGATGTTTGCTGCTGCACCTGTTTGAACAAAAGTGATATATTAAGTGAGTATAGTATTCAGAACCACTTAATCTCACAGGATGCATTTTCATTACGCATGAAGTGAGACTGATATTACTTTCATGGCTAAGCATTTTGGTTTTCTAAACAAATACTAATAATTGTATCTTATTCAACTTAATCATGTTAAATTTAGCCATCAGTTAACCTCAATATTTATTGTCATCTAGTTTTTAAGTTGTCATAAATGTACCTGGAAACATGATTTATTTGACTGGAATTTAACTAAGTTAATTTTAATTATTTTGTAATCATGTACTGTGCTTCATTTTTAATCTACATACATCTATGTCTGTTTGTTATATTCATTAGAATTACTTTATGACCATATGTCTTTATACAGTGGAACCCAGGTTTTCATCCTTAATCCGCTCCAGAAGGTCGGTTGAAATCCGAAATGGACGAAAACTGAAGTAATATTTCCCATAAGAAATAATGTAAATCCACTTAATCCGTTCCAGACATCCAAAAATATTAACAAAAATACATTTTCTAGACAATAACTATAGTTTTACATACAGAAAACAATGAGAAATAACTTTTTTTTTTTTTTAGCAAGTCGGCCCTCTCCCC